GACACTAAGGATGAAGGAGTTGATGAGCAGGATTATTTCACATTCTTAATGTGCTTTTGTGACTGGTAGACAGATACAAGATAATGTGGTTGTAACACATGAGGCATTTCATTATCTGCAAAAGAGGAAGACTAGGAATAAGTAGGAAATGACTTTAAAGGTTGATATGAATAAAGTATATGATAGGGTGGAATGGGGTTTGTTAAGAAATGTGATGTTGAAGATGGGGTTTTGTAGGTTATGGGTGGAATAGGTGATGAAATGTGTTACTATAATGGCTTTTAATTTGCAAGTTTTTGATAAAAGAGTTGCAGAGTTGAAACTGGAGAGAGACATAAGACAAGGGGATCCTTTGTCCCCTTATCTTTTTATTATTATGGCTGAGGTGCTATCCTTGATGATTCAGTACCACATTAATAATGGAGAGCTCATGGGTTTTAAAATTGCAAAGAAAGGCCCTTTGTTATCACATTGTTTTTTTGTTGATGATTCTTTTTTTTTTTAAGTAAATGCAAGGATTGATAATTGTTTAGTTTTGAAGAAGATTTTGGATGTGTATAGTGCTGCTTCAGGTCAGTTGGTTAATTTAGAAAAATCCTGTGTGTATTTTTCTACTAATATTATGTTTGATAGTAGGTTGGAAATTGCTCAGGCTATTGGTGTGAGGTGTTCGGAAGATCCTGAGAAGTACTTGGGGTTATCAATGGTTTAGGGTAGATGTAAAGCAATAGCTCTGGAGTATGCGAGAGATAAGGTGGGGTGCAAGCTTTTGGGGTGGAAGCTAAAGCTTCTTTCTTTTGCTAGTAGGGAGGTTTTGATTAAAATAATGGTGAATTCTATCCTTATTTATCCTATGACATATTTTTCATTTTCTAAGAAAACGTGTATTAAGTTTGATAGACTTGTATCAAATTTTTGGTGGGGGTAGAAGGGGGAGGAGGGATGTATTCACTGGAAGAGTTGGAAGAATCTTACTGTGTCTAAAGCAGAAAGGGGATATAAGGTTTAGAGAGTTACAAGCTTTTAATAAAGCTTTCTTGGCTAAAACGGCTTGGAGACTTTTGACAAAACCTAATGATTTTTGGTGCAGGTTGATTAAGGGGATCTATTTTTCTTATACTGATTTTCTATCAGCAAAAAAAGGAAGCAAAGCTTTTTGGTGCTGGTCCAGATTGTTGGAAAGGAGGGAGTTATTAATAAAGCAATTGATGTGAAAAGTTGGTAATTGATAAATAATAATTTTATATATTTTTATCCTCTTAATTTAAATTTTTAAATATTTATTTGAGGCTAATTAAGTTTAATTAAATATTATTTAATTTTATTAGTCAATCTTCAATTTTGATATTTTATCTATCTAAATCTTTGAGTTTAGAAATATAAATAATATCTTTAATATTTTTACTCAGTTGTTATTTTATTTTATTTTTACAGATTTTTTAAATTTAATTTTAAAAATTTTGTTTATATTTATCAGGAGTGTTTTAGTGTAATTTTCAATTAAGACTACTTAGGGTACTTTTGTTATTTTAATAAATTATTAGGTTTTTCTTTAATAAGAGATGCACGTCCGCACAGGAGATGCATATATATATATATACGTATGCATGCATGCATGCATGTATGTATAAAACATGACTTTTACAAGAGAAAATAGAAACAGAGTTGGTGGCGCGCCCTTCGCAGTTCTCCGCGAGCGATGGCTTCCCTGTTGGATGCTGTTTGACTTTTAATTTTATAAAAAATTAAATTTTAATATAATCAATCACAAATCATAATTTTAAATTTTAATCAAAATATTTGATATTAAAAAAATATTTTAATTTTATTTTAATTTTCTCTTTCTCTTTCTACCTTTGAATTTTATATTTTAATTGTTATTATTAATTGGAATAGGTTTATTATATAATTTTTGAGTTATAATTTTATTTTAAATTTTATTTACTATAATCAATTGATATAACATCATAAGAGTAATTTGCTTTGGCTTGAATGATTACTCATGCTTTATTTCTGGTGTGATTAACATAAAATAGTTGTTAGGTTGTGAGTTAAGGGAGATTTTTTTTAATTTATAATTTAATTTCTTATTTAATTCTTAAATGATAAATTTGAAAACTATATAATAAGATCAAAATAATAAATTTAAATAAAATTAGTTTATTTTGTGGATGAGGAAGATTAAATTTAAGTGATTGAGTTGTGACTAAATGTGCTGCTTGTATTTGATAATTTTTTCAGTTAAATTTAATTTAATTTATTTAATTTTAATTTATTTTTTTAAATAATTTCATTATAAAAAATTCCTCCATTATTTATTTTTTCATAATCATATTTTAACTAGTTATTTTATTGGCTCTTAAAAAAATAATTTAAATTACATTTTTACTGTAAAATTTAATTTTATTAATTTTAATATTATTTGGCAATAATATCAATAATGGAAGGCAAATTAGGGTGTGGGGTAGGCAATGGGTCTTGGGTCTTGATTCCTTTAAGCTACGACATAAAGCTGAAGATACTGTTAAAAAAAGTTTAATGATGGCTGATTTAATTGTTGATGGGAAGTGGCAATTATCGAGTATTAAGCATAGAATTTCTGAAGCTATTTGGCTAAATTCTATTTACATCGATTATTTGGCTCAAATAATTGATTAATTGATGAATTCAAACAGGCAAAAAATTATTGGACTTTGTACAAGTGGTATCGTACTATGATTATGAATTTAACAATAATGCTGTTCCACTAACTATTAATGACCGTTGTGTCTAGTCAATTAAAATTTGGATTTTAATTTTGATATCCTTTAATTTAATTATTTAATAAGGAGATCAGTTTGAATTCGCTCTCTAATTTTGACTCGTTAATATTCCTTTTCGTTTTATTCATAAGATACATAGAGATAATAATTTTTTTATTTTTATTTATAAATTATGTCATTAATTTTTATCACATATTTTTTAATTTACTCCTGCCAGTAAATGTTAGTGAGAGAAAATATATTATTAAAATATATATTTTTAATTTTTAATAAGATAACACATGATTATGAATTAAAAATAATATAAAATATAATTTTATAACTTATTAAATATCTTTGTTAAATCAGGTTCGAGCATGTAGGTTTAAAAATATCTATATTTTCACTTATAGTTTTCAATATTTTTTTAGAAAAATTGTTCCAAATCATATTATATCTTTATAAAGGTTTAAAAATGAAGTTGACTTTTAAAAAGGATCTAATTTTTGAATTTTTTTAGGAAAAAATTTATTAGTTTTTTTTTGATATATTATGTTTAGTGCCATTCAGTTTTCTAAAAAGTCATTCAAGTTCAAGGCTCAACTCTAGCTTCTAGTTTACTGGTAACTTTACTCAGGTTCAACCTGACTCAATTATAAAAAAAAATAATTTTTTTTTTGTCTAAATCAAGTTGTTAACAATGGATTTGACTCAATTAAAATTTAATTTTTAAATTATAATTTGATATAATTTAATTTTTATAATTTTGATATAGTTAATAGGCTTAAGGTCTAATTTTACTTTAATATTTGTTTTTAAAAAACATTAAATATTCTATACTAATAAATGAGATAATTTAACTTCTAATGACATGGCTTAGTGATGGCGACGAGGGCATGTTTCAAATCTGGGGTGTTCGACTTCGAAGGCGAGACTCAGTAACGGACTCCAGATGTGGTTAACAGACAATGGCTCGAATGGCTACACGATCTGCTGAAGGCAACTGGCACGGTTAGGGGGCATTGAAGGGAGAAGAGACACACTAAATAAAGAATAGTTTTTCTAAAACTGATTTTAGTGTTAAGTGCTCCGTTTAAGTAACACAATGCAGATATTAAAAAAAAATGCGCGCACACATAATGCAACACTCCCATGTTTTGGTCCAAATTATAAGAAACAGTGAAATTTGTGTATGGTGCGTTGATTACATTATTCTTATGCTCATTTGGATAACCACTTTTTTTTGGTAATCACAAACTCACAGTGAGTAATTTATTTGTTTCTTACTTTCTCATATCGAAGATTGGAGGGAGTATAGGTAAGAAACAAAAACAAAGGAGTAAAAATATCCACAAAGTGATCAGCCAAGGATATTCAATAACCTAAAATGAGAAAAGGGATAAAATTACTTATAATATTATCAGAGTTAGTATAAAAGTGACTAAACCGTTAACTTTATCTTAACGTTGTTATTTTCCACCATTAAATGCTGATTATGCTTGACACTTGTTAGTCTTTAATGACATGGACTAAAAAAGGGGGGCAAAAATACCCACGAATCATCATCTAAGAGCATTCAGTAGCATAAAGTAAGAAAAAATGATAAAATACCCATAACATTATCAAAGTTAGTACAAAATGACTAATCCATTAAATTCCTTCAATATTTGACCATTTAACTGATACTAAAGTAGAAGTTGACCATTTTTTCACTAACGTGAACAAAAAATATTCTCAAATAAAATTCTATACAAGTTAATTAGTTATTATATGAATATCATGTGAGAAAATATCATTTTGACCAAACATCAAGTTAAATCGATCACTTTGTTGCAACAGTGATGATGAGTGGAGAGGTGTGCTGTAACATCCTGATTTTTATATAATAAAGAAATTGTGGAATTTAGGTTTTGAGGAAAAAAATGATAATAATAGGAATTTATATTATTTGAGGTTATTTAGAAATAATATTATGATTAGGTATTTAATTATGAATTTAAAAATTTAAATTTAAAACCACATAAGCAATATTTAGTTAAGATATAATACATAAATAATTTTTTTTATGTGTGTGTTAAAAAAAAAAGAGAAGGTAGAAGGAACAAAAAAAAAGGGGGGTGAAGGTTGTTGTTTCTAAGTCCCACATTGGTTAGATGAGGGAAGAGAAGAGGTGCCTTCATGTATAAAAAGGAGGGGGTGTGTGCATTAGGAAGCATGAGAGGCTAAGATGCAATTTAGAGAAAATTGCAACTTTGGCCCAAAGGTTTGAATAATTAAATTCAAACCTATAGTTTTTTTTAATATAATTTTGGGACTCACAATCCCATTTTTATATTATTTTTCTCTCTTCCTCTCACGTTGCTCGGCGTTTTCTCGCAAGGGGGGATTATTTTCTTTTTCTTCAGGTATGTTCTAACTTTCCTGTTTAGATTAGCATTTAAAAATTTATTTAATTACAAAATTAATTTTATAGTTATTTTTAAATAATATTAGCTTTCTAGTGATATGATTATTTTGTAGGATAGAGTAAATATTTTGATTAGGATTTTTTCTATAGGATAGTTAATCTGATGATATGATGGATTAAAAATATAGGTTAAAACTCTTAGGGATATAATAAATATTATAGAATATTTTCTTGAGGTTGAAACTCATGTTTAAGAATTTTTGAGTTAAAATCTAGATCTATATGGTTGAATTTATGTGGAATCTGAGATGTAGGGATAAACCTATGATTATTAAATATTTATTTAAGTATGAATAGGTATTTTTGAGGTTATAGAAAGGTGATTTGAGGCTTCAGGATAATTTTAAAATTTAATTTATTTTTGGATGAATTTTTAGAATATAGAAGGATGAAATTGTGATACTAGAAGTGATTTGAGGATAAAAAAAATAGTTTATTAGGGTACGAGAATTTTAGAAAAGAATTTGGGAAGTTAAATGAGGCATAAATCTTAAATTAGTGTTAATATGGATTATAGATCTAAGACTTTCTAACTATTTAAATTAGAGTTATTTATTTTAATGTAAAATTAATATATAGTATTGTGAAATAATTATGTAGATTATATTGACAAAGATAGTGGTGAAAAAGGAGTTGTGAAGGGGAACTTGTTATTCAAGACACAAGGTAACCATTATTAATGTGTTGTGATGAGTGTGTTTGTGAATGGTTATGTGTTGTTTTGTTGTTTGGAAAAATTATGAATTATTGAAAATAAATACTGTATATACTTGTTTGAAATTATTGCCAAGTGGGTTAAAAATTTATTTTTGTTTATCATGATGAGATATTATTGTTCGGATATATTCCTGTTTGGATATTTGAATGATGCATGACTTGTCAGGGTATTTTAATGTATGGTGTTAATGGGAATTTCTGTTCGGTTAATTATTACCACGTGGTAAGCCCTCATTGGACCCAATGAGTGGCGTGTCGCTTGGTCCAACTCACCTTTGGCCGGGTGATTTGGCGTCCGAGCATGGCGAAAGGAGGATATAAGGTGCAGTCATGCAAATTAAATACTTGTTCGGTTTGTTTGAAAGTATTGTTCGGTTAAATGTTTTGTGTGCCCACTTAGCAATCGCATGATTAGTTACATCCGCATGCATCATTACATATTAATTTTTGGTTACTGGGACTTTTAAGTCTCATTCCCCGTGGTTAATATTTTTACAGGAGCGAGTCCGGCCGAGAAAGCACCAGAGGTGTAACTGTGGTGTATGAGACACCATCTTTTACGTTGCCTCTTATTTTAGATTATACAATGTATCTTGTGCCAACTTAGGACATATCTTCTTTGTGAAGCATGTAAACTCTAATCCTTTTTATTAAAGTATTTATATGACCAAGAGGATTATGTCTGTCCCTCTTGATTTATGATCTGATTTGAATAACATGCTATGAGGATCATGTCTGTCCCTCATGGTTCTAATTGTTTTTTTTGAGATATTTTAAGACCTGTGGTATATTGTCTTGGATGTATCGTGGTAGAAATTTTTCTACCATGATAAGGGTTCAATGAAAAAAAAGGATTTGTTGAATTAATAACTTGTGAAAAATCGGTCTGTAAATTTGAGGGTGTTACATATTGGTATCAGAGCATATAGTCGGTTGGCAATATACATTGTTATGGTGCTTCTCATTGTATGGCCATGATATAGCTAGGCTAATTTTATTATTTATATCTTGTATCCTTTAGGAGGGGAGAGAAAATGCCTGTTACTCGTGGTAACTCAGGATTTCAACATGAGCACCTACCACCGCCACTGCCAAATGAGGAGCCTGACTTGGCGGAATTGAGAATGCTTGTAAAAACATTAACAGACAAGGTTCAAGGATACGAACAAGAGTTGACGGAGCTAAAGAGGCAAAAGGTAACTGAAAATGGAGATAGGGCTCATGTTGAGAGTCATGTGGGGGAAGGCAGTTCCTCACATCCTGCCACTCCGAGAGATCATGAGTCTAGAAGGAAGGAAATTAGGCAGGAGGAACAGAGAGCCCCACCGACCATTACTGATGTGTGGGAAACTGTTAGGAAGTTTAACCCTCCTACGTTTGATGGTAACCTTAAACCATCCGTGGTAGAGGAATGGGTGAAGAGACTCGAATCCATCTTTCGAGTAGTCACATGCACCAGCAATCAAAAAGTACAAGTAGCATTAGTGCTCCTAGTGAAAGGAGCAAGAGATTGGTGGGAGACAGCAGGGCCCAGGGATGATTCTACACTCACCTGGGAGGAATTCAAGGAAAAATTATTCAGGCATTACTTTCCATCAGAGTTAAGGTCTGAGAAGGAAGCGGAATTCCATGCCTTTAAGCAAGGGAACCTCGATGAGGACACATTCATTGCTAAGTTTCAGGAGTTATCTAGATACTCCACGTACCTGCAGTATAGGGATGATTCTGAATGGAAGGCTAAGCGCTTATTGGAGAAGGCTAGACCAGAATTGAGGGAACAATTAGCTCATCTAGATATCCGAGATTATGATGAAATGTGCATAAAACTACAAGTAGTAGCTCGCAGTAAGAAGGAGGTCGAGAGAGAGAAGAGGGGTTATTCATATAGTAGACCCCCAACCTACCCTCGACCCACCGGAGGCATTATGAAGAAAAACCATCAGGGTTCGAGTAGCTCATGGAACCAAGGAAGGCAGAAGGGTCCATTTCAAAGGGGCCAAGGACAGAGGAGCTATCATAGTAGTTATCACGGGTCACAGAGGAGCCCAACAGTATCTACACCTGCCCCGAGTACAGCGAGCTCTCAACAGTGCACTAAATGCGGGCGTCGTCATTTCGGACAGTGCTGGGTCTGTTACATTTGTGGGAAACCCGGTCACATTGCAAAGTTTTGTGGGGACAACCAGGGCTCAAATATGAAGAACCCTTCCCAACATCCTACTGTCTCTGGCCGTGTGTTTGCTCTTACTCAGGACACCATGAACTCCCCAGATGCCATTAGAGGTAACATCAAAATCCTTCATCATGATATTGTTGCACTATTTGATTCGGGTGCTACACACTCTTTTATTTCTGAAACTTGTGTAAAGAACCTTGATTTGCCTGTGTGTATTTTACCTTTTGATATGAATGTGTCTACTCCTGCGGGAGAATCTGTAAGGACTGCTAAGGCATGCCTTAACCTAGTAGTCGAGTTTAAAAATAGGAAAACAACTATGGACTTAATTATCCTACCACTGAGAGGTATGGATGTAATTGTGGGAATGAATTGGATGGCTGCAAATGGTGCTATCCTAGATTGTAGAGAGAGGAGTGTGTCTTTATCTTCTTTATCGGTGACCCCAGTCGAGACTCAAGATCATGTTTTCTTGTCGGCGGCGCAAGTTGATAGATGTATGAAGAAGGGTTGCCAGGCCTACATGGTTTTCTTCTCTATCCAAGCTGAGATTGATGAAGGCGTGAAGAATATCCCAATTGTCAAAGAATTTGCGGATGTATTTCCAGACGAAGTCTCCGGTTTACCCCCAAAGCGCGAGGTAGAGTTCTCAATTGAATTGGTACCCGGTACAGGGCCAATTTCTAAGGCTCCTTATCGGATGTCCCCTTCAGAGTTAGCGGAACTGAAAAAGCAAATTGAAGAGCTACTTGAGAAGGGTTTCATCAGACCGAGTGTTTCACCTTGGGGATCTCCAGTCCTTTTTGTAAAGAAGAAGGACGGAAGCCTCCGATTGTGCATTGATTATAGACAATTGAACAAAGTAACCATCAAGAACAAATATCCACTTCCGAGAATCGATGATTTGCTGGATCAGCTTGTGGGATCCGCAGTTTTCTCAAAGATTGACTTAAGGTCAGGGTACCACCAATTGAGAGTGAGAGCAGAGGATATACCTAAGACAGCATTTCGGACGAGATATGGGCATTATGAATTCATGGTGATGCCGTTTGGACTTACGAATGCTCCTGCGGTATTCATGGATTACATGAATAGGATCTTTCGACCCTATTTAGATAAGTTTGTAGTAGTGTTTATTGATGACATTCTTATTTATTCAAAGGATGAGGAGGCTCATGGTGAACATTTAAGAATCGTCTTGCAAGTTTTGAGGGAACATAAGCTTTATGCCAAATTAAACAAGTGTGAATTTTGGCTCCAAGAAGTAAAGTTTTTGGGCCATGTTGTGTCCAGAGACGGAGTTGCGGTGGATCCTAGCAAGATTGATGCAGTGATGAAGTGGGAACAGCCAAAATCTGTTACAGAGATACGAAGCTTTTTAGGTTTAGCAGGTTATTATCGTCGCTTTATTAAGGGATTTTCGCAAATTGCGATGCCCTTAACTAAGCTGACTAAGAAGGATGCCCCATTTATTTGGACTGACAAATGTGAAGCTGCTTTCCAAGAATTGAAAAAGAGGTTAACCACTACTCCAGTATTGACTATTCCTGACCCTGTGGTGCCGTACACTCTGTACACTGATGCTTCTTTAAAGGGTTTAGGATGTGTTTTGATGCAAAATGACCGAGTGGTTGCCTATTCCTCCAGACAGTTGAGACCACACGAGGAAAATTACCCTACTCATGATTTGGAGTTAGCTGCAGTTGTGTTTGCTCTGAAGATATGGAGACACTACTTGTATGGATCTAAGTTTCAAATCTTCAGTGACCATAAGAGCCTGAAGTATTTATTTGATCAAAAAGAGCTTAATATGAGGCAGCGACGATGGATGGAATTTCTAAAGGATTATGACTTTGAATTACATTACCATCCGGGTAAGGCTAACGTGGTAGCTGATGCCTTAAGTAGAAAGACTATTCATGCTGCACATTTGATGGTTCATGAATATCATTTATGGAACAGTTTTCATGATGTTCCAGTAGATGTGATTGAACATCAAATGGCCGCACTCCAGGTAGCAGACTTTGAGAGCAAATTCTGGGAAGATCTCAGAGTCTCACAGCAGAGTGATGACTACTTAAGGAATATAAGGAAGGAGATAGTGGTAGGTAAGGCCCCAAATTTTACCATCTCTGAGGACACAGTGATGAAGTATAAAGGTAGAGTTTGTGTACCTAATGATCCAAGATTGAGGAATATCCTTTTAGAAGAAGCTCATAGGAGCAAATATACAATTCATCCCGGTATAACTAAAATGTACCATGATTTGAAGCGAGGTTGGTGGTGGCCAGGAATGAAGAAAGATGTAACTGAATTTGTTTCTAGATGTTTAACGTGTCAGAAGATAAAGATAGAACATCAGAAGCCAGCTGGAACACTGCAACCGTTAGATATTCCAAAGTGGAAATGGGATGATATTTCTATGGATTTCATCACTGGACTGCCAAGAACACCCTCGAGTAAGGATGCTATTTGGGTGATAGTAGACCGACTCACCAAATCAGCTCACTTTTTGGCGATCAAGTTTACCTCTACATTAGAGAAATTTGCTGAGATATACATTAAGGAGATAGTTAGACTTCATGGTATACCCTCTAGAATTGTGTCAGATCGTGACCCAAGGTTCACTTCAAACTTTTGGGGTGCGCTACAGAAGGCTATGGGTACCAGACTGAGTTTTAGCACCGCATACCACCCCCAAACAGATGGACAAACAGAGAGGACGATCCAGACTTTGGAGGACATGTTGAGAGCTTGTGCCATTGAACTACCAGGTAGTTGGGATAATCATTTGCCATTAGCTGAATTTGCTTATAATAACAGCTATCATTCTAGTATTGGGATGGCGCCTTATGAGGCCTTGTATGGAAGGAAGTGTAGATCGCCTTTATGTTGGACAGAATTAAGTGAGAGGAGTATCATTGGTCCAGAAATTGTAGAGCAGACCACCCAGAAGATTGCAATGATTAAGCAAAAATTGCTAACCGCTCAGAGCCGACAGAAGAGCTATGCTGATAAGAGGAGACGGCCGTTAGAGTTTGAAGTAGGAGATCATGTATTTTTGAAGGTTTCTCCAGTGACAGGCATTGGTAGATCCATTAAGGCAAAGAAATTGACACCTAGATTTATGGGCCCGTATGAGATCTTGGAGCGAATTGGATCTACTGCATATAGAGTTGCATTACCTCCACAGATTGCAGGTATCCATAATGTGTTCCACGTATCACAGTTGAAGAAGTACAACCCGGATCCCTCCCATGTTATTGAACCTGAAGAAGTAGAATTGAGGGAGAATTTGACCTTTAGATCCGAACCGGAGCGAATTGAGGACTTTAAGGACAAACAACTACGCAATAAGACCATCCGACTCGTGAAGGTGATTTGGAAGGGTGGAGCCCTAGGTGATGCTACTTGGGAGACCGAGGAGAGTAT